CCCCCCCTCTTTGACTCCCTCCTCCGTTTACCCCCCCCCTCCGGCTAATTTTTACATTTTCCCACTTTTTTTGATGAGTTTTTTCCTCTGGAGAGGCAGCAGCCTCCTGAAAAGCCCCCACGCCATGCGGAGCACGTATTGGGGTGTCGGGGTGCACGCTGGGGTGTCAGGGTGTACGTTGGGGTGCAAAACCGCCCTGGGACAGCGGCCCCGGGAGACCAACAGACGCTGGGAGAGCACCCGTGTGAGCCAGAGCAAGGAAACAGGGGCCCACGGTGCTTCAAGCCACACGGAGGGGGGGGGTCCCGAGACCGCGCGTGCCCAGAGAAACTTCAAAAATTAATGGCAGCTACAGACCCCGGAAATATTAGTGTCGAAACCGGCGCTTATTTTCCCTAGAAATCCCTCTCTGGCAGCTCCTCCTGCCAAGGTGTCATCTATTTAGTGGAGAAACACGCTCACGTCGCTCCTGCAAAGCAGCGGCGGCAGCCCTCAAACATCCTCCTCGCTGCCAGGCCCGGGGTCGGACGGACAGGCGCTGCTCTTCCTCCCCACGCTGCTCTTCCTCCTCACCCACTGGAGCTGCCGAGGCTTCCCGCGGGCTGGTGGAGGATGGAACGAGCTCTGCGAATTCTCCACATCGCTGCACTTTGGCCTCGGTGCTTGCTCTGGGGTTTGCAGATATTTGTTAATTTTTCATGGCTGGGGAAAGTTAATTGATCCTTCCCCCACCCCCGGCAGGTTTGTGCTAAGCCGGGAGCTGCAGGGGTGCGGGTCCGCGTTTGGCGCTGCTGGGTGCTGAGCCCCCGAAGCCCTCACGTGCCCCGTTGATCCTCACCCTGCGCCTAACTGAGCTGGAAAAGTGCAAAAAAAAAATAGGGGCGATTCCAGTGGTGGGGCTGAGCCAGACCCCCTGCCCGAGGGGCTTTCTGGGGCCTAATTCAGTGGACGCAGGGAGAGGAACGGAAAGAGGTGGTTTTGCGCTGAAAATTCATTTCACTGCTCAAAATAGAACACATTAGATGAGCTGTTTCCCTCCCCCAGTGGTACTTATGGACAAATTCTGATTTTTTATTTAATGGTTTCCCCGAAAAGGTTGTAATTTTCTTCACATTCCCATCTAGCTGTAGCTCCAGCGCTGTTGTGGTGAACTCAGACGACCGAAAATGCCTCTCGTTAATTGATATTCCTCACACTAGGACTGTACTGAAATAGCAGATGTTTTATTTTAGCTTATTAAAACTCACCTGGTTGAAAAAAAAAAAGAAAAAAAAAAGAAAAAAGAACTATTAGGGGTGAAAGGAAACGTTCTGGTTCATATTGATTTAAAATCTACTTAAAGTGATATTTGCACATCCCAATTATAAACCGTGATCTTTTCCCATAAGTTAATTTTCTTTTTCTGAGGGTTTTTGGTTTTTTTTTTTTGCTTTATGATCTTAGAAAAAGCCTCCATGGGAGCAGCCACCAGCTCCTCTCCTCGTCAGCCCGTGCTGTGGCGAGATGCCTTTGGGACAACATATCCCTCCTCCCTGGGCGATGCAGGGCAGGAGGGAGGCGAGGAGGCAGCTGACACCATGGGGCGAGGAGGAGGAGGAGGACAAGGGCCCTGGGGATGCTCAGCGAAGGCCCCGGGCAGCCCCATTGTTCGGAGCAGGGTGAGCAGCACGTGGGACGCAGCGGGGTCCATTGGGGTGACGTGGTTTCATGTCCCATGTTGGGGTGCCCGGGCACCCTGCAAGGTGCTGGGGGACGGGAAACGGGAGATGTCTTCATCCATCCTGGTTGTAGAGAAACCTCAGGCTTGGCTTCTGGCTGCGGGGTGTTGTGACACTGTGCCCCCACACCCCCCCCGCCAAGTGCCTGCCGCAATGCCACCCTTCGGGGAAACCGTCGGAACTGCCCTTCCCTTCCCAAACAGCCTCTGCAGGAGGAAGAGCTGCTGCACCTCATCCTCCCACCCTCGCTGCTCCCCAACGGCCCCCCCCCAGCTCCTCGCAGCCCCCCTGCAGCCCCAGGCAGTGCTGGAGGGCAATGGCGGAGCAAGAAACCTGTGGGATAAGGTTTGGTCACAGCCACAGTCCCCCTGCTCACCCCCAGCCTCCCTGCAGGGAAACGGGATCCAAACCACCAGCGATAGGAAATAGTTTTCTTTTTCCCCCAAAAAATCTTGTCTCCCTTCCCTCTGCTGTGT